GAAAAATGAGTGGTAACCCCAGGATTTTTGCTAGTTTTACCAGTTGGGCTGTCAGCCCTAATTTTTATCTAATTATATTGGCCAGGAGGGGACTCCCTTGCTAGATTTACCACTTGTCTCCACTCCCTGTGGAGAGTATGCTGCATATATCTTAAGTACTAATAGTAGGGGACTTTTACAGCCACATACACAGAGCTCTACTCAGAGAGGAAGAGCCATTCGGTAGATGTTGGAAGGTCTCAGAAGATCTGTTGCCTTCAGAAAAGCACTTAGTTATTTGGTTTATTCAGGGCTTTAAAACCAAGCAAAGTGGGAGAAAAAGAAACTAAGCAGAGTGAAAGTTCTGACTTTATGAGAAGCAGGTGAGCAGAGGTCATTTTCGAAGTTCTAGTACTTTGGTAATAAGCATTTATTGAGTACTATGAGACAGTACTTTATTTTTCCTATATCATTTTTTTAATGTTCAGAACCACCCTGTGAAGTAGACATGTTCTTACCTCCACCTTACACATAAGAGAAAGGAAGCGTAACTTCCCTGAGGTCTTACACTCACTAGGGGATCTAAACCCAAGTTCTCTGTCCCACAGCCCAGGCTGTCACCCCCAGCTGCAGTGTCTGCACTGTATCCTGAGTGAGTTAGATGCCATCTGTGGCCCAGGGTAGTCTTGCTAGTCTAACTGATTAGCTCATCCCAAGATTCCTACAGGATGAGAGCCAGTGAAGGAGAACGTGGAGTGGCTGGTAGAGTAAGAGGGAAACCAGGAGAAAGGGGAGTCCCTGGGAGGAGGAACCCCTGAAGGTGCAGGATGTTCCCCAGTGGTGAGAGGTCACCTCAGGATAGGAAGGGCTGTCAGCCTCTGTTGGATTTAGTGTTGACTGATGACCTTAGGAACCACTTCAGTAAATCCATGATAAAACTACACAAACCAGAATGTTTGATGTTGGTTTTGATAGGAGTGCAAATTGTTTTACCAGGCTTGCTCCTAACTACTGGATGTACATTTTATTCTGATCTTTACAAAGCTCTTTGAGGTCAGTGTACTATTATTATCTTCACTTCATGGCCTGGAAACCTCAGTCTGGGATCTTGCCAAAGTCAGTTTTCCAGAACCAGAGCTGGAGCCATCTGTGTAATTATACACTAAGACATTTTTTTCAGAGCCCAGTGCTGGGCTGCTATCAGCAGCATGGGCGAACCACAGTACTTCTGTAGCATGTACCCTTTCAGAGCTCCTTTTGTATAACTTTAATCTATTTTTGTTACTTTTCCCATCCTGTCACATCAGCACATCCTATCATACGCTTTCTAACGCCTTCCCTGCTTATACGAAGGTGTATTCATACGTTGTCATCAGACACAACTCCTGGCATTTGTAGTGTGACACAAAGTCAGCAGTGTATGTCAGGGCAAATTGCTTAAAAACGGCCTTTTTCACAAATACAAATTTCTCACCTACCAGTATTTTCCGTTCTTTGTGCTACTATTTGTGTAGTCTTTCATAGTCAGACTGGTTTTTTGGCTAATAGTCTTGCTGATTGTTTGGTCTGCATCTTACTACTAGGTAGCCCTTCTGATTGTTTTCACTGGAAAGGAAAGGTGAGACTGTTTATCACTGGGTGTACGTCTGTTAGTAATGGCATTTAAGCCTAGATGTTGGGGGTTGGGGCAAGGAGCTATGATAGTGTGAGGAACATAAATCCATGGAAGGGAAGAGGCATTGAAGGCTGCACACAGAAGGGACAGATGGTGTACATGTGTGTGAGACAATTTTTATGATAACCTGAGGAGCCCTTTGTGTTGGAGGAGGCCACGCCATAGTGGTTCAACCTACTGCAGTTATCCAACCTGTAGAGTTTTGGGAATGGAAGCCATCCAGGCAATTCTGTTTTGTTAGACCGTGGCAGGCAAATGTCCAACTCCACGACATAAAAGGCCTCACACCCACCTTCCCACAAGACAACTAATAAGACCTAGTTGTCTGGGGGCTGGGGATTTAGCTCAGTGGCAAAGTGCCTGCCTGGCAAGCATAAGGTCATGAGTTCGATTCCTGGTACTGGAAGGAAAGACAAAAAAAAAAAAAGAAGACCTAGTTGTGTGCCGTGGCCCAGGTGAGATGGGAAGGGTTGCTAAACCGGAGAATTAAAGGGTCATAGAGAGCTGTTTTCTCATCTGGAAAATAGAGATAGCAAAGGTATCCACTTAGCACACTTGCAGGACTGAGACAATGCATGGGGAATTGCTCGGCATGGTGTCTCACTGCTGTTGCTAATGGCTGGGTATCTGTGAGCTGTGTGCAGTAGAGCCTGTATGTTGACTGAGACCGGGCTCTCTGTTTAGTGTTTTCCTGCTAGCTACCCTCTCCCCTGTCTTCATCAGAGACAAGGGAGGTTAGGTCTCTAGTGCCTCTGCCCAGCAAGGCTTTTTCTCTGGGAGGCTGGGTAGGACATTCCTTCATTGGTACTTTCCATTTGTTTCTTTGTTTGCTTTCCTGTGGTACTGGGACACAAGGTCTCAGCACTGTTTTGTTTTACTTAGGGAGACTGGAATTGGCAGTACCGGGCTGGGGTGTGGCTCAGTAGTACAGTGCTTGCCAAGCATATGTGAGGCCATGGATTCAAATCCCCAGTACTAAATAAATAAATAGGCAATACATAAAAGCATTTCTCTTGCTATGTCAGGCTGAACAGTACAAAATTATCTCTATTTTGGTGTAAATTTTAAACTAATTTTGTATACTACCATTTCCATTGGCCTTTCACTTAGGACAAAGAAAAAAATTAAGACTGTATTCTGTAGTAGAAAATCTAACATCAACATATATTAACTTTGGTCATTCTATTGTCATCCTAGCCAAAGTTAATCAAATGAGACTTTGGGAATTAAACTCTGCTAAATACACTGTACCTTAAAATATGCTAAGCTCCTTGGGTGTCTGTGAGGTGCTCACATTTATATTTCTTTTTTTATTTTTATTTTATTTATTTACCTTTTTTTTGGTACCAGAACTCGAACTCAGGACCTTGCACTTGCCCAGCAGACGCTTGTGCTGCTGACATTTATATTTCTTGAACTGCCTGCTTTCCCCTGGCTCCTGACTCTTCTTCTCACGCAGATGGCATTTTCCAAGGAGCCTTTCCAAATCATTCTCACCACAGAACATACTTTTCAAACCTAGAAATCTTGAAATAAGAAAATGAAGATTTATTTCTCTTTTTAAAAAAGATATCTTTACTTCAGGAAACCTATATTTATTCTATCTCCAAAATTTCCCCCACTGCAGTAGTTTATGTACTTTCTCTTTCTTCAGACTGAAGCCTCTGAGCAGAGATTATATCTCTTTGACTATTACATTGCCTGGGCCTAATTTAATTTACATTTCTGGGCCTGACACAGAACTATGAGTATAGCTCAGTGGCAGAGTGCTTGCCTAGTATGCACAAGACCTTGTTCCCAGTACTGCAAAAAATAGTAAAATAAAATACACCAGAATGAGTTTACACTTTGCTTCTGGCTCCAGCTTGGTGTGTACTGTCAGTTTCTGAGGCCATCTTGTGGCTAGATCACATACTGCTATAAACAGACCTAACATTTTCCCCATTGATGTACTTACTGCATAAAACATGACATAGTATATTTTGTATTTGTTTGTTTGCCTTCATGGCCTCTTGCAGGATAAAAAGAGCAAAACCCCTAGAAGTTGCAGTTTATGAAATCTGTATGTCTTCCCATTAGGAGCTGTAAAGGCTTTTACATATCTAGAAATTTTATAGTTTAGTGATTAGGGAGATGTGCAGGCAGACAGATGGAACTTCAGTTTTATCACTTTTTCAGTGAGCTTGAAAACAAAACATCTGAAATTTATCAGCAAAATAGAATTCATCCCTGCCCGGTTATGTATTGTGGCTGTGTATCATGTGACGTTTCCATCCACGTTAGACTGCATGTGCTGCAGTGGCCCCATGAGTTTATGGTGGAGATGAAAAATTCCTATCACTTAGTGAATACATAGCTGAAGGAGAGGCAAAAGAAAATGAAGAAAAAGAACCCCAAAAATTCCCAATAAAGATTAGTTTAGCAGAACCTTTTATAGAACTCAACAGCAGTGTGAAAACATGGACTCCAAAAGCAAAAGGTTTTCATTAGTAGAGAGGAATGTTTATGGTGCATTATCTGCTTACAACCAAATCCGTAATGAAAAAAACAAGTAAACCCCCATGGATGTTTCTGAAGTGACACCTCCTTATTATTCCACATTTTTATCTTGCATGTGATACCATTTCATTATGATACTTTCTAAATAGGGCAAGACTCTAAAAGCAGTAATTTAACTGTGCTGGATTCGGTTGTTAAACATATTAAAATGGTTTTATGGCTTAAGCTTAATTCAGTGAATTGATGAATTTTTCCCAGTCTGTTTTTCAAGCTGTTTTGAACTAGATGTTACTAAGTCATTTTAAAAATCACTGTTTGTTCAAAAACTAGGAAACACCTGAGTTAAACCTAAACATAGGTTTTTTTGTCTTTTTGAGACAGGGTCTCGCTATGCAGTTCAGGCTGGCCTCGAACACACTTTGTAGCCCAGACTGGTCTCAAACTCACAATGATCCTCCTGCCTCAGCCTCCCAAGTGCTGGGATTACAGGCGTGTGCCACCACACCTGGCTAATATAGGTTATTAACAGGCCACAGAGACCAGGAGACAATATGTCATACCAAGTGGTGTATATAAGGCTGAAGAGCTTGCTCATACTGATGAATTTTGCAGGAGTAGAAATTAGCAAAAACTAGTATCATCTTCCCCCTAAATATTGCTTTTTCTTTAAAAACAATTTGCCCCAGGGTTAGTACCTATCATACATTGGCAACAAATTAATTTGATTTCTGAATAAACCTTTTTGGGGAGATTCAGTTTAATCCAATGATTGCTCTTGATGTGTGGATTTTTCTAATACCACAGAATGAGTTTGTTTTTTGTTGTTTTTTGTTTTTTTGGCATGTAGGTGACTCTTGTCTCTGCTGCTCCTGAGAAAGTGATTTGTGAAATGAAAGTAGAAGAAGAGCACACTAATAAATACGGCACTCTCCATGGTGGTTTGACAGCCACCTTAATAGACAGCATATCAACAATGGCTCTGCTATTCACGGAAAGAGGGGTACCAGGAGTTAGTGTTGACATGAACATAACGTATGTATCCCAATAGTACCCACAGAACTTTTTAAATTTGATAACTCATTTCACACAACCAAGACCAGACACATTTATAATATTAATGAAACATGAGATTCAGTTAGATATTTATCCTTAAGTGCAGCTATAGATTTGCTCTATCTCGTGGCCTTAAAACGAGTAAAACAGTTGACTTCCAAGTAGACATCCCTTTGTATCTGTAGGATATTGATTACAGGACTCCTCTCAGACTCCTAAAGTCTGCCAATCCTCAAGTCTCTTATATAAAATATTATTTGCATATAATCTATACACACTCTCCTGTATTCTCCTGTATATATAAATCATCTCTAGGTTACTGATAATACCTAATACAATGTGATATGCACATAGTTATACTGTATTGTTTAGAGAATGACAAGATAAAAAAGGACTTATTTTTTCACATATCTTCACTCCATAGTTGATTAAATTGGAAGACAGAGAACAAATACAGAGGGCCCACTGTACAGTATGTATCAACAGTAAAGGGAGAATGATCCCAAATATTCAAAATAGACAGCTTCTCATTATATATACTGGCAAGGGAGAAATAAACTCATGGCTTATCACTGTTGTATAGTCCTTAAAAGTACCCCTTGGACAAGTTCTTTGAGGAGTGTGTTGAGTACATATACAGAAAAGTCTGAATAAAATTCAAAGGAAAGCTGAAGGGCCTTTCATATATGCATTGTCATCTTGCGTCAGCAAGCTGCATTAAGTGTCAGGCAGTAATCCAGATCCTTCCCACAACACAACCTTCAAGAATTTGTATTAAGTTAAACAGTTTCAACCTTTCAAAGTACTGTGTATGTTCCCAAAAATGTTGGCCACCACCAAAGCTGCCTGAGCTTTCAAAACTGATTCACTTGGGGCCCAGGGATATAGCTCAATGGCATAATAGCTTGCCTGGCAAGCCTGAGGTGATGAGTTCGATTCCTGGTACCAAAAAAAAAAAAAACAAACAAACAAAACTGATTCACTTGAACAGAAACTAGGATAATCTCAGAAGTTGTGGGTAGTTCAAAATTCAGTGAACACTGCTTTCCTGGAATACCTCATGATTCATTCTTTGTACTGCCACTTGACATGGTGCCAAATATACTCATCCCTGCGCATTAAGTTCTGTACTACACAGACCAAAGATGTCTATTACAGACCATAACTTAGGTTAAAAATTTGGGTTCTAAAACAACAAAAGAGTAAAGTAGGGTAAGAATAGATTTTCTGTTTGTTTTTTGGTTTTTTTCTTTTGTCAAGGTCTCATCATGCAGTTCAGGCTGTCCTCAAAACTCACGATCCTCCTGCCTCAGCCTTCTGAGTGCTGGGATTACAGGCATGCACCACCACACTGCTTTAGAGCAAAAATACTGTTGATAAAATATCAGCTTCCAGATCCCCTAGATTTAATGTTTGCTTATCTACAGCACAAAGGGTTGCTTTGCTTCCTTAGTTTAGTAAATGGTCATTTGCCAAAATTCTTGATTTATAGGACAAAACTAAAAGTCATAAAAATTAAGAAAATCATAAAGCATGTCATTTCATTTTTTTAAATTGGGGTACCTGAATTCAAGATCAGCCTCCATTTTTTTTCCAGCAATAAAGTTCAATTTTCTTAACTTCCCAGCAACAAACACTTAGGTCTTATTTGGAACTTGGCAAAAAAATACACATCATCTTTTAAGGTTCCTTGCTTTATAAATGCAGATATATTAAAAATAGCCAGGTGTGGTGGTGCACACTGGTGTTTCCAGCACTCAGGATACTGAGGCAGGAAACTGCCATGAGTTCAAGGCCAGCCTGAACTATACAGCAAGACTGTCTCAAAAAAACAAAAAGAAAACCAAAAACATACCATTTAAACAGGCCTTATCCCCTAGTCTTATTTGTAAGTTAGCTAAAGTAACTGAATTAAAGGCAACTTATGATTATAATTAGGTAGGAAGTATATTACTCAAGTCAGAAGCCAGGCATGGTGGCATAGGCTTTAGTCCCAGCACTCTGGGAAGCTGAGGCAGAGGATAGCAAGTTCAAGCTCAGCCTGGGGAACTTAGCAAGTTGCTGTCTCAAAAAATAATAAAGGGCTGGTGATATATCTCTATGCAAAGGCCCTGGGTTTAATCCCCAGTACCACTTAAAAAAAAAAAGTAGGCAGTCTTCTGTTATCCACAGGTTCCTCACCTGCAGATTCAACCCTTACATGGAAAACACTTTTTTAAAAATTGCATGTACAGACTTTTCCCAATCAGTATTCTCTAACAGTACACTGTAACTATTTACATAGCATTTACATTATATATATTAAATATTATAATTTAGGGATGATTTAAAATGTACAGTAGGATGCACAGGTTGTGTGCAAATACTGCACTGTTATATAAAAGACATGAGCATGCATAGATTTTGATATCTGCAGCAGTACTGAGACCAACCCTCCATGACCCCCTATGGGACCACATTATATCCAATTCCTCACTAGGATTTTAAGAGCCTCATTCATTTCCTGTGTTTCTTAAATTAGTCATTTTAGAGTTATGCCTAAATATGACAAGACAGACACTAAGTGATACTTAAGAAGTTAAAACTCATTAAATGAAAGAGGAAATCTTTCACTCATCTTAAAAAAATGAAATGGGAAACTAAGGGGGTAAAGGTCCAGAAAACCACGTATTTGTAGGAAAAGAAAGTGGGTAAAGAATGGGAAAAAGATAAAACCTTGTTAGTACAAGCCATTCAAATTTGACAGTTCAGAAAACTTACATTAAAAATTATTTTGAGTGAAGTAAGATACATAGGAAAGCTGTTAAGAACTTGTCAAAACTTTCAAAAAATAATCTGGCATTAACTGTATTTAAATATGCTTTCTTTCAAGGTACATGTCACCTGCTAAAATAGGAGAAGAAATTGTAATTACAGCAAATATTTTGAAGCAAGGAAAGACACTTGCTTTCGCCTCTGTGGATGTGACCAACAAGGCCACAGGAAAACTAATAGCACAAGGAAGACACACAAAACACCTGGGAAACTGAGCAAACAGCAGGATTAAAGGAACCCAAGAGCGAGCATCAAGCATAAATTTGATTTGAACAAATTTTCAAAATAAATGAGCAGAATCAGAAATAGCTAAGAAATATTGTCTTTGGGGGAAAAGACCTAGAGACCAAGTAGGACAGAGTTAAGGTGGGGGTGTCTGGTTTTTTCATTTTATCTTTTATTTTTTAATCAATTCATAATTGAAAGAAAAAAGCTCTGAAGTGTTTGAAAACAGGTAAAGCAAAAAAGCCAGCAGGGCCACTCTAAGATTACAATTAAAGTCCAGTGTGATGCTGAAGGAGAACAATAAATTAATGGCTGAGTCTGTTCAGATCTTTCATGCTGTCTAGACTTGGCAGCTTATAAACAAATGTCTTTTAACAGTTCTGGAGGCCAAGATCAGGGCTCCCAAACTGTCTGGTTAGGGGCCTGCTTCCTGCTTCATTGACAGCGACTTCTCATACATACTCACATGGCACAGCAAAGGGAAATGGCCATCTTTTAGGGCACCCCTAAGGACACTGAGAATGCCTCCTGAGGACCCACCTACCTAGTACCATCCCCTTAGGGTTAGAACGTTGGGGGAACACTAAATATATAGACCATAGTAGAGGCCAGTTCTTACTATCTTTCCCAGCTCTAAAATACCCTGTCACATTTCCATTAGAGATTATCAAACTTCAAAATAGATTATAGCCCATGTTCGATAATTAGATTGTGCCACAATTGCTTAAAATAAGTGTGAAGCAAATCACGTAATACAGAAAATGTTCCAAATACTTTTCCTGCATCATTCATTATAGATTCAGCCTGGCATCTTTGGCAGGGGGGGAATGTAGTGCTCTGTACTACATTCTCTATGTAGTACTATGTAGTGCTATGTAGTCGAGGCTGGCCTCAAACTTGCAGCAATCCTCCTGCCTCAGCCCCGAGTGCTGGGGTTACAGGTGTGCACATGCGCAGCCAGCCTGGCATCTTCTGTATTAAAAGGAGGGAAAGCATACACTGTGAGCCCTTTGAAACTCCCAGTATACTATATTAAAAAGATCCAATTCACAAAGTACTCTGCTTCTCAAAGATCACGACGTTCTGTGGACTATGGCACTTAAAATATTTTATTATTTCTCTATCCAAGTCTTAGTTACTGAAGACTAAAAAGCAGCTTGAAAAAAAATTGGAAAAAGTCAAGTCTTAAGTTGGTTATCCTTTGCTGGTATTAGAATGCATGCTCATCTATTCATGCCAATGACAGATGCAGATTCCCTAGCAGCAGTGGGCATAGAGGAGGCCCAGGTATTGGCTGATTCCTAGTATACTTCCCACGTTAAGGAACCTCAGCCCTCTGTAGAACAGCAATTCCAGGACTGGAGGCTGGTGCACAAAACTACAAGGTATCTTATCCCTGGAAATAACGAAGTGCTCAAAAAAGGATAAAGGCGTGCAAATTATGCATCAAGGGAAAAAAACTCCACAATATTTTGGTGGAAAACGCCAAAAACAGGAGGAATTTTACAATAATACTGAAAAATATGGAGATTTGGAGTATCATCCTTGCAGCCACGGTTAAGACTGGTTTGGTCCAGTAGCAAGAAACATCAGTAGAGCTCATGAAGAGGTAGGGTATTTGCTAGTTTACCAGATTGCCAGGAATAAGTACATAGTGCAAAGAAAAAGAACACCTTGACCAGCGCAACCAGAACATCACTAAGGAGCACAGTGTGTTCCTGGACATCAACCTGACCTGAGAAAGGGCAATGGTCAATAACTGAACAACTCAAATGGAAGACTACAGAAAAGTTGGCCTGTACTCCCAAAATGTCAAGATCATGAAACAGGCAGAGAAACAAAAGACATCAGGGACATGACAACTAAATGCAGCAATTCTGTACTGTTACAGAGTTTTTAAAAAAGCTATGAATGTCATCTGGGGACACAGCTCAGTGATAAGAGCACCCACCTAGTACTCCTAGGTTCAGTCACCACAAAAAACACCAAGTTAAAACTAGAATATGAATGGCAAGTTGTAGCAATGTTAGTTTCTTAATTTTTCTAGTTTACTCTGGACAACACCTTGACCAGTAATGAAAATATCCTTGGACTTCATGAAACAAAGGCCTAAGGAGTAAGGAATTACCATGTATGCAAGAAACTCCAGAATGGTTCAGAAAATATATACAAAGAACATAAATGTCCCAAATCATACACTAATGTTGAGTATAGATTATACTAGAACTTTTTATATTACTTTGACAACTGTGTAAATTTCAAAGTAACTGGCTGCTGAATTGCCTAATACACTGAACATAGTAGTGTAATTCACCACAGTACAATGGTTAAGAGCTTGGGATCTACTGCCAGCCAGCAGCCTATTTGTGGGTACTGTAGTTTGAACCCAGGGCCTTGGTACTGAGTTAACATCCCACTTTCTTTTTTAAATTTTATTTTGACACAAGATTTCACTAACTTGCTTAGACTGGCCTCAAACTCACAATCCTGCCTCAACCTTATAGACATGCACAGTACAACCAATCTAATTGAAATCTCCCACTACTTAGGCGCCTAGCTTAAGCAATTAAGCCTCTGCGCCTATATCCACTAGCTGGTCAACTCTTAAGATTAAGAGCTTAGAAAATTACCTGACTGTAAGGAACAAAGTGTTATTTCAAATGGATTCTAAGTAACTTCCAGAGAAGAGGCGAAAAAATCATTGTCAAATTAAAAAGGGTCGTGACATAAGGCATAAGCACAGGCTGCTACTAAAAACAGACGTCTTTGATTCCTATTTTTGTTGAATTTACAAACCCAACTGCCAGATATTTTTCCTTCAGAAGTTACTATTTAGCTATGGGCTATAAAAAAAAACAAATCCCTAAAGCAATTAAGTGACATCTACCAAGGATTGATGAAAAAAGTTACCACTTCAAGCTTTGTGTATTCACCTGAATAGTCAGGGAACTTTCACCTATTTTATTTAGGTTTTCATTTTTTTTCAAATTCCAACCAGAAGCTAAATACAATTGGAAACCAGTAAGCACTAGTTTTACTCCAAAGGAGCAGGATCACTCAGATTTACTCCAACAAAAGTATGCAACCCTTAAGCAAAGATATTCTTCATTTAAAAGGAACAAAACAAAAACTACAGTAGTCTCTCCTTATGTTCATTGCACAAAATGAGTTCTGCTTTTAGAACTTTGTGTTTTTACAATTTAACTTTTTAACAACTTTTTTCCCAGTCCAAAAACTCTCCGCCTTTTTCTTTAGGATGGTGTAGAAACCAGAATTTCAGAACAATTCACTGGATTTATTTTGTAATTAAAATCTCTTTGCTTTAACACCAAAAAAAAATAAAGTAAAATAAAAAAAATAAAAACCAAAGTAAAGTCCTCTACCTATTACGGTTTCTGCAGCTATGAATGTATTTCTCAGTTTTATAGCTGCTTTAGCTACTTCAGACTCCGTATCTGCTTTAATGTGTATAAACGCATCCACACTCAGCAGAATACCTTTTATAACAGCAACTTGGGGAAAGAGATCTGGGAAAAAAAATACATGTATTTATGTACCAAGAAAACAAACATGGCCCAGTAAAATACAAGGCAAGAATGCCTACAATGAGATGCTTTTGTCATTTAAGGTTTCTTTCCCATGGTTGTCATTTCTTTTGTAAACAACCACTTCTGGTCATTAGAATGAATCTGACAGTGCTCTTAACAACGGTGATTATAGCAAAGCTATTAAGTTTTTAAAAATGTTATTTATACCTGTTACATTCACTTCTCACCCTCCAAATACTGATGACAGATGTCAAAGAGGCAAACACCAGCACAAATGGGAAGACCATCAACAATGAGTATCACCTTGTGCTTTCAGATACATTTAAGCATTTCAGTGTACAATAGTCCTTTCATTTCACATTTTTAGTAAGATGCTGATGCAGTGCAGCAAGTATGCAAAGCATCTTCTTTCACACAGTCCGTGCAGAAGACATCTAATTTTTTTAAGTTCTGAGATACAAATGATTAAAAAAAATCCAGGATGAACAAGTTTCAAAATGCATAGTGTTCTGTGCATGAGTCCATTTTCTTTAAACTGAAAAAATAAAGTGGTAAGAAAACAAGAAAAAACATTGCTGCTGCATTCTCTGGTCTTCTCCATTCGCTGGTTAGTAACTACTCTGGCATGTAAGGGCGAAGGTGGTCCTCTATGGTGCCCACTGCCCAGTGGGTGAGCTGCTCCTGTGGCAGGTAGAGGCAGATGCTGCATAACTTGAAGATTGTAGCTTTGTTTTTTGGAGTCTGGGAGGGGGAAAATTTTAATATTTTTAATGAAAAAGAGTTTAACACACTGACTTAATCTCTCATAATTTATTAAGAACCGAAGTACAGTAGTAAAACATACTAAGTATGGGATAAATTATAATCCTTACCCATAGTCTAGTGAGGAAGACAATCTTGTCATATGAGATACAGGAAAAATACAGTAAAAATTGTTATAAATTAAAGACATAAGGGATATATAAAGTTAGGGAAGTCAACTACAGATTACTTGCTAACAGAAGTTAGGGCTGAAGGCATACTGAGTAAAGATTTAAGTCATGTTTATAGTCAGGAAAATGGCAGATGTGACAGTAGAAGCTAGGGAGGGGATTAGAGATGGGTGAAGATTTAAGAATATCCTGCAGTTATGGATTAAAAACCCAAATATTACCAATTCAGACTTTGAGGTTGTTTTGTTTTGGTTTTCTGAGTCAGAGTCTTCCTATGTAGTTCCAGCTATCCTTGCCCTCACATTGGAGCCAAGGTTGGCCTTGAATTTGAGGCAACCCTCCTACATAAGCCTCCTAAGTGCTGTGACTGCAGGTGTACACAACCACTCCCGCTTGAGTAGTATTTTTAAAAAGCAGTTACCATTTAAGCATCTAACTTTTGGATAACATATGCTAGGTGCTTTCTCAAATAATCACTGCTAATAAATGTGATGAAACATGAACCAAGACCTGTCTAGAACATGCTCATAAAAGTCACTTGTCCAAGATCACACAGCCAGCAAGCAGCTGTACTTGTACCAGAATTGACAAACTCTGGGCCTTTACCTCAGTATTACCTGTCCATCCAAAACTACCCGTTGGTCTAGCCCTTATCACCTGTCTTAGGACTAAGAGCACAAAACCGTTGCCAGAGGATTTTTGTCTGACCAAGTTAATTTATTTCCTTAGCTATAAAATGGGATTCATGTGAGGCCTAAATGAATTCACACATGTAAAGCTTTGACTATACAGCTAGGCAGATAATGTACACTATGTGTTGACCACTATCATATTGATTCCCCTACAAACTAGAAGTTGAATCTTGTATATAAAGCAAATTTGGCAACACATCTGCAGCTTATGAAGGTCAAGGACAGAACCTGAATGGATGAAGACTAAAAGCACTAAAGATCAAGTTTACCTGCAATTAACTATTTGGTGTGCCAGGGACATGTGTTTCCAGGACTTGGAATTTTGCCAAACCCAGGATATTCTAGGCAAACTAAAGACAATTAAGTCACCCTACCTACAACACAGACTGGGCTCTGAAACTTAACATTTTCAAGATTCAAGTTTTTTGCTTAACCCATTAAAAAAAAAAAAACAGATCTGCCTTTGATACGTAACAAATGATTTACTAGTCATCTAACAAAATAATTCCTTGAGGTCACTTGTAAACTGTGCTGTTTCATAGTATGTTCCCATAAAAGTGAAGGCTAAGTAAAGCACAGTGGTGCATACCTGTCACTCTACAGGATTCTTGGAGGCTGAGGCAGAGGACCACAAGTTCAAGCCCTGCCTAGGCAATATAGTAAAACCCTATCTCAAAAAAAAAAAAGAGTTAGGGGCTGGGGATTTAGCTCAGCAGCAAAAGCACTTGCCTGGCAAGCGCAAGGTCTTCAGTTCAATTCCTGGTACTGGAAGAAAAGACAAAAAAAACAAAAAACAAAACAAAAAAAAGAGTTGGGAAAATGTGGAAGCAACCCAAATGTCTATCCACCGAGGACTGCCTAAGAAAATTGTTGGTACTTTTATATAATGGAATATTATTCAGCTGTAAAGAAAAATAAACTCGACGCTTTTATAGGCAAATGGTCACAACTAGAGACCATACTCATAAGTGAAATAAATCAAACATACATGTGCAAGCACCACAGTTTCACTAGTGTAAATCTTGAAAGAGTTAATTTAAACTCGGAGGTATGATAGACACTGTGAAATGACAGGAAACCGCTCAAGAGTAAAGGGCAACTGGGATGTGGGAAAAGAGAAGGGAAAGGAGAAATTTTGTATGTATCTATATACAGGATAGTTAACATGGTTGTTCTTCCGTCTTCTAGTTCTATGCTGAAAGAAACTGTCAATGAGTCTTTGGTTGATCAGTATTGCATTTCTGTATCTGTTTTCATGAGAAGCCACTTTGAAGATATCAATATGTAATACAACAACCACTGTTAATTCCCTACCACTTTTTTTGTAACTCTGTATTGTCTGTACTGTTCTTTTGATATGTTGTAAAATGTTGTCTGTCTGTTAATGTTTTCCTTTTATTTTTAAAATAAAAAAAAAAATAGTTGGGGATGTACTTCAGTGTGAAGGCTCTGGGGTCTAATCCCCAATACCCTTCCTCACCCTCAGTGACAGCTAATTTCTCTACACCCTTAAACCTCTATTACTAAAAATCTGTGTTGTGGATTCCACTGTAAGGCAGTAAAGACCATAAGCAAATAAAAAGGAAAAATATGAGTCAACTTTAAAATACCTACAAGAAAGCTAAGGTAAAGAAACCAGAAAAAGACAAAACCTACTTATGCTACTAGCACTAAGTGGTAAGTTATGTGGTATATCAAATGTCTCCCCCCAGAAGCAACTGTTATAAAACTTTCTGCAAAACAGAGAAGTAAACATCTTCCAAAATAGCTTGTCAGCACCTTGAGGGTAGTTCAAAGTGTGATACACCTTTGTATTTTTTATTGTTTTGCATATATTCTCTATTAAATAGACATATGGTCTATAATTTAGTGGATACCATAAATGACTTTTTAAAATCTTTACCTCTCAGTAAGAACTTCTCTGCTGACACCATCTAAGAATGCAAACTGCCCACACTTCATATTCCTGTCCTGTTTTCTTAGCACTTATCACTACGTAACCATGTACTTCACTCGTTTGATACTGGTTTCCTACACTGGAGTGTGAATCCACCAAGACAGGAATTGTTTTCTATCTCACTCATTGTCTGGCACAGTGTAGGCTATCATTTGTTGAATGAATGATAAACCAGGATGCTATATTTCTTAAGGCTAATAACTTATAATAAAGTTATTATATATTATAAAGGATAATGTTAAGCTGAGAGAATAAGCAACACTTTATAGAATAAAAACTGAATTAGAATACTAAATTGCTGTTTAAGTGAAAAGTACTTTTCTGTTGAATAATGACTTTTATAATTAGCTCCTCAGAAGTTTCAATATGCAGCAAAGTTTGGGAACTTCTGGAGTAAGAACTAGTATATCTGTTTAGTTATTTAAATAACTTCAAAAATAACTCATTTGAAGCCGGACATGGTGGCACATGCCTATAACCTCAGCATTTAGGAGGCTGAGGCAATAGCATCGTTTTGAGTTCCAGACCAGCCTGGGCTACAAAGTGAGCTCAAGGCCAGCCTGAACTGCATAATGAGATCCTTTCTCAAAAAGATGGGGGAAAAAAAAAAAAAAAAACCACAGTAGCGAGGGAACAAAACAAAAACACTTATCTCATTTGGAAAACAGCTTATTAACCAATAAGCTTTTTGAATGATCCCTGAAGTAGTTTTCAAAAAACTCACCTGCAAGTGCTGTCTGTCAATGAAGAGAAACACTGACTGGCTAGGGTTGTTGACAACAATTCCAGTCTTGTCCTTGCGGCTCAGTACATGCAGAAACTGTTTTTCATAGTCACCGTGATGAAACTCAAATTTGGCCTAATTAAAAGATGCAAACACTTTTATGTAACTACAAATGTTACACTACCTGAAATGTCTACTGCCCTTATCATATCTGCACTGTTCAATATGCAGCCAACAGCAAAAGAATTGCATTAAAATTAAATGTTACTTAAAAGCCAGTCCTGAGGGGCTGGGGATTTAGCTCAGCGGCAAAAGCGCCTGCCTCGCAAGCGCAAGGTCGTGAGTTCGGTTCCCGGTACCGGAGAAAAACCAAAAA